TTTCCACCTCTGCCTACCAGGCTGAAGTTAAAGCAAAGGGATCCTGCTTTAGACATGTGCATCGGTTTAGCTAAGCAGGTTTCAAATCAGCTCAAACCAGTGTGATTCTGCCCAGAGATGGGTCCTGCCCCTGGGACCGGAGCCAAACATTCCCCTGCCGTACGGCCCTGCCCCAGGAACAACGCACCATGAACTGGCCCCTACAGAACCAAATAGGTGCGGGGTGGCATTCTCTCGGTGCTCAGAGAGAAGAGCACATTGCAGTTCCCCTGCATCTCCTCCACACAGGTCCCATGAGGTGATGAGCAGGGAGCGGTCACTTCTTCCCATGGGACAGGGAAGGAGCCCACGCATGCTGTGGCGTGAAGGACAGTGCCGGGTAGGACACATGGCTGGAGCGTGGTACCTTATTGAGAGCCGTGACGCCAGTGAGGATGATGTGGGAGTTCTCCACCTGGATGACACGCTGGCCCAGCCTCACCAGGTATGCACCGATCCCGATGGCACGACAGGTCACCTGGGCACACACACAAGGACACACGAGGTTACTGGGGAGAAGGGGCTGCAGCATGGTTTGCGGGCGCTGGGGCAACGATGCTCTCTGGCTCTGCAGGGACCTGCGCAGTCGAGTTGTACCAGCTCGCCTGTTATCCCCCGCAGGGAATGACCTTAAAAGCGAATGGGAGAGAGGGGAGGAGCAGAGCAGGGGAAGGGCCCATGGCTGTACCATGCTGATGGTCACTATTTCATCGTAAGCGCGAGAGGACTCCCCAGCGATGGTACCGGCAGCTCTCAGGTTTTCCACCCCAAAACCATTGTCCTTCCCGATGATGTCTAGGAGGACGTACCTGCGGGGAAAGCAGAGCCGTGGTGGCACGGGCAGGACAGAGGGAAGCACTCACTTGTGCGACGTGTTTGGCAGGATGCTGAGCCAGGACGTGGGAGCTGCATCCCAGCGGGACCCAGGGCAAGGCTCAGGCCACCTCTGTGTGCCCCGTGGGATAGTGGGGCTCACCTGGACTCGCCCCCTTCCTCCACATGCTCACAGTGCACCGAGTTCATGGCGCTGATCCTCGTGTAGTCCTGGGGAGTCAGGTACAGGTACTTGAACCCCTGGAAATAAAGAGGAGGAGGAGTTTTGGAGCCCCCCGTGCACACGTTCACATGGGACACAGCCCCTCTCCAAACCCAACCCAAATCAACCCCATGCATCAACAGCGGCTCAGGGACAAGGGCTGGACAGAGCAGCCATGCCAGCACTGGCACCTTTATCTCCACCCTGCTGGGGAAAGCAGAGGGAACCATCCCCATAGCAGTGGGTGCACATGTGTGCCAACCCCCCAGCATTGATCCCCCAGTTTTATGACCCAGTTTAGCTCTGGTCCTTCCTTCCCCAAATAAGTCCCCGGGGAGGTGCCCACACACCTTGTAAGGGTCCACAGGGTCCACCCAGGCCACCTGGAACATGTGCTTTATCTCGTCAGCAAAGCCGATGCGGGCGCCGCTGTTGGCGGCGATGTAGATGCGGGGGATGCCTTCGGCCCGCGCCAGCTCCGAGGCCCGCAGGAAGACCAGGTCCTCCTCTGGTCCAAAGGAGCCAATCTTGTGTGTGATGTCGTTGCAGATGAGCACAATGTCCCGGCCTTTTGGATACTCGGGGGTCTTCAGCTTCATTTTGAAAGCAACCATCCCCACCTGCCCCAAAACAGCACAAGGTCATGGGTCAGGCTCCTCCAGAAATAGAGGGTCTGAGCTGCAGACTGCATTAACTGACAGACAAAACACTTGCTTGAGGAGCATCTCCCAAGCTTTAAACACAGCCAGACTGGGGACGCCACCAGCCATTCCCACCTGCCGCAGCACAGCTTCACCCTCCCCTCTCTCTCGCCCCATTCCCAAATCATCCCCGCTACCTCGTTCCCTCCAGGGACCCTATTCATCTGCACGAGGTGCCCCTGCGAGTCCAGCACTAGCTCGGTGTACGTCAGGACGTCCTTGGGGTACAGCTCCGAGGAGCCCCACAGCTTGAAGAGAGCCTGCAGAGACACCGCGCACAGGACGAGCTGAAAGCACGGGGCTGCGGCAGCTCCGAGGCTATCGCCGAGCGCAGACACACGCTCCTGCAGCAGGCTGGGACTTGGGGTGCGCAAAACTTTGCGTTAGAGCCCCCACCCTGCTGCAGACCTCCTTGCACGGGGCTTTCTGGTTCACGTCCTCCATGAGTGTGACTACAGCAATTTGCAAGAGCTAGGAATTGGTTTAGAAACGCTTCATATAACCAAAAATATCGGGGCTTGGGTTCTTTTCTTTTTCTCATTTGCCAGCTAAGGGGAGAGGAATCTTTACCCCAGATGGGAATATTTGGGCACGGTGGGGGAAGAAAAGCAAATGCAATAATTTAGAGCCTCCTTCTGCTCAGCCAGACTCACCTGCCTGATCATCTCAGGGAAATCATACACATAGGTAGTACCCAAGGACTGCGCCTGGAACCGCTTGGCCTGAAGCAGGTCCTTGGTGACATAGGGGGTGTTGATGAGCATCCCGTGCTGTGGCCCTTGCTTGTCCCCATATGACTGAAACATGATCTGGAGAGAAGGGCAGAGCGTTGGCTGCCTTCCCTCAGCATGCGGGTGAGTCCTCTCTGCAACACAAAGGTGCGGGAGCCCCGCAGGGCTGGAACTCTGCTGAGCTCTGCCTGGCCAAGACGCTCGTGCCTGCAGCTCTGCTCGACCAAACAATATGATTCTCCACCCCACTCTGTGCTACTGAGGGGACAGAGTGCAACACTGCTGTGCCACAAGTACCATTAAGACCCTAACGCTGACCTTCACCTCCCAGACCAAAACCTGTGCAACTAAGCGCCAGCAACACCCCTGGGGCTCAGCATCATTTTGGAGCAAAGCATGACCCCGAGGTGCCCAACTGGATGCAGCACAGAGGAGAGTGAAACTGGGCCAGTCCTGGGAATGATGCTGCACAGACCCATTGGGATTGTCTGGTCTGGGACAGACCAGCACTGCAGGTGCACAAGGATTTTGCCAGAAACCACCTCAAAGCTCCACGGCCGCTGACAGCTGCTCAAGCAGTCGTGGCTGGGTCCCCGTTTGCAGCCGCTGCCTGCAGTTACTCACGCTGCCGGTGCCGGGATCCCTCACTTCCTTGTAGAGGCTGATGTCCAGGTAGTAGCCGGACTCGTTGGTCAGGAAGAGGCGGATGGGGATGGCGGTGGCAGTGGGCGTCAGGCGGATGTTGATCTTCACCTCGGCCTGCAGGACCCGCAGCTTCCAGAGGCGGCCCACGGTAGCCCGGACCCA